TAATTTCGTGACTGGTTTTATGTCTATGCCACCCTGTGAGTGGGAGGGAAGATCATGGTAACACTGCCTTAACCACTGAAAACTTCTTGTTTCCTTGGTTTGTTACTTTTCTGTTCTTCATCATTTTGTCATGAATTGAGTGAAGGTGTTGTATTTTTTAAAAGTTATATTAACCAGGGTATCTGGGTGGCTTAGTGGGTTAAGCATCTGCCTTCAATTCAGATCATGATCCCAGGGTCCTGGGATTTAAGACATTTTAAGGAGAGTACTTAATAAAATATTACATTAATATATTATGTTAAATGATAAATATTATAATATTCATTTTATATTTATTTATAATTTATAATGAAATATTGTGTAAAATTCTCCAAGAATAGACTGCTGGGTCTTTGTAGATCTAGAAATCTCAAAATACATGGGTGCCCCTACTAATTCTTTGATGAACGGAAATATGAACTCTAGTATATTCTAATCAATTCCACTTTGCCCAGGGATCCTGTGATAGGTCATCCATAGCTGCCATTGCCAACATAGTCCATTTTTTCTTGTCAATAATTTTCTTTGCATCTCCAATCTAAAATTCAGAATACAGCAATAAACTAGCTTTTTACATTATACATCATGCAATAATCTACGTGATTACTACTAAGAAATATGAATACGAAAACATGCATATAGACATTGGCAACTAATAATTTTCAATGGAATGGTTTATTTAACAAATGGCCTAGTAAGTTGTATTGGTAATTCAAACTGAGGTTTGTTGTACATGGTCAAGTGCTAAATTATGCTTATGTTTACTTTTTTGTTCCTAAGAATAATGATAGCTAGACTGTAGGCCCTTTAAAGGCAGAGATAGATTGTATTTTACATTTTATTGGTAACAACCACAGCATGAGAAACAGAATTGATTATGAAGTAGGTATTCAATAAATACTTGTTTGGTTTACTGATTTGCTTATGCATCTTTCTGGTGTTGACAAATAAATTATCAGAATAAAAATAGAAGTGAGGATATTAGTAAATCTACCAATTCCTCTCTCTGTAGCTATAAATGTCAATGTGCAAAGGATGTATATTAAACAGGGGTTCTTAACCTCAGTTTCAGAGGGGATTCCTTTAACTCCTGAAATTTTATTCAAAAAAATTTTTTTTGTATCTTCAAATGTTCACTTTCATGAGGAGAGGATACATAGCTTTCTTCAGCTTCCAGGAAATCCATAACTTTATCATAAACTATTAAAAACCAGTGGCATTTCATATATTCGCCCATACCCTGAATGTCAGCACTGATGATGACAAAAACCTGTTTACTTTGCTTTTTTTCTCTGATTTTTTTTGGTTCTTTCTCTGATTTTTGACTCTCCTAAGATGCCTGATCTTTAGTCATAATTAAGCTGCCCTAAGTAATGCCAGGAATAAAGCAATGTATAAAAACATGAATGCAAACAGCATAACTTGAGCCTTCTCCTTGTTCCCATGCTATACTCTGTGTACCGAGTTGGCACTTTGTGTCCAGGTGCAGGTCAAGGATTCTTACCATATAAAACTCTAATGGACTAAGTGATCTGGGACCTAATTATTGGGGAAATTACCTGTCTCCTTATGCGTGCTCACAACCACTAAAATCAACAGCAGCACTTCAGCTAACGGTTCCTGCCTCCTCACTTCAGAGAATTTGGGGCAATTTGCTCCCAGCATGAGGAGTTGACTTTGGAATTCATGATACATCTCACCTAAGCCTAAATTTACCAGTTCAGAAGTAGAAAACATTTGTTTTTTATTTAGAATGACAGAATACATTAGTTAGTTGTGGTCAAATCAGGTTAAAGTGTTTCTCTGCATACCCCACCTTTCCCCAATACTGTGTTTTTAAGAAAGTTAATGTTTGACTAGTTTATTGCCCTGCTGCAAATTGAAAAAAAGCACTTATGTTAAGGAGCAAGGCCTTTTTAGGAAGAAAAATAGGACCTTTATGAATATGCTATTGATTCTCAGTCCAACTTATAATCACATGTAACAGTGAATCTCTTAGTAGCACATTTTATTATTATTTAGTGTTTAAGTAGCTTGAGGACCTATGATTTATAGCATTTTAATTCTAGCTGTTCCTCCAAACTTTTATCTTTAAGTGGGTCATAAACACTATATATCTTACGTTGTTATCCTTTCTATTGTTTATCTTTTAAACTAACATAAATTAAGATTGCTACAAGCCTACATTCTTATTTTTAAATATTGGCTTCTTATAAATGTATTTATTTTTAGAAAGACAAGACTGCCCCCTTTGGTGGTCATCAGAGAAGTTAAAACTTTGTTACATTCTTCTGTCTCACGCAGTAAGACAAGCACTTGGGAAGCCTAAAGGCAGCTTTCTAAGAAAACAAAGCTTTAAAATTATTTTGGAAGATTTTAACTCATGCCTATTTTAAAGGTTGGCTGTCAAGAATCTATTTGGGGGTGGCAGAGTTTTTCTGTTCCCCCTGCAAGTTCTAGAGCTTCCTTTCAAGTTAAAATTTTAAATATCATATATTTGTGTTCAACATAAAAAAGCATACGAATTCCATATCACAACAAATGGCTCCTAAGAAGACTGTAAATTGAGGGACAGAAGAGAAGTTATTTAAAGGAACCCCCACTAGAGAACACATTGGCAGCTCCCAAATAAACCCATTTTAATTTTCACTTTATTTCAGTTATATTTCAAAGCTATGATATCATGAGTGGAGGCAGAAGCAGCTCATAGAAGAGCCCGAGTTCAAAGGAATTGGAATTTAGCATGGAATGTAAAATTGAGGACTTTTACTTCTAAGATGATTGTAGAAATACCAAGGTGGAAGGATGTGGGCTTGGTGCTGCAGCAGAAATAGTAGTCTGGGGTGACCCTGCATATATTGGCCAGTGTCCACCAAGTAAATCTCTTTACAAGAGAAAAGCTTGTAACTGGCAAGCTAGTAGAAACATTCATTTCTCTGAAAACTTTTTTCCTGTCCTGCTGTTCTAAAAGGGACATTATAAATTGCTAATGAACAGTGACTTTCACATTTTAAGAGGTTAGATTCCCCCAGCACTGAAATAAAGCATGCTTTAGCCTTCTTACACCCAGGATATCCCATTGGGTTCCCTGCAGAGTGCTCTCTTCTTGCACCCTTTGGTAAGGCTGCACAGTGGGTCAGTATTCCCTGTAGTCTTTTTTTACACTGGGGCTCTGGCTGCCAGAGGGGAAAATAGCCACACACAGGGAAATGGTGCAAGTTAAAATCAAGTAAGCCTAGTGGGATGGTAATGAGTTTCCCAGCATCCAAGTCTTTGCCTTCAGGATACGTGAAGCTAGAAAACAATGTCATTCATTTAACATTTATAGAAAACACACAATGTACGTGGTACAGTGCTAAGTACTGGAGGGTATGCAAAAGTATGCAAAACACAAACCCTGCGCTAAGGAATCCTGCCAAGAAGGGTATTTTCTTTTTTTTTTTTTTTTTAAGATTTTTAATTTATTTATTTGAGAGAGAGAATGAGATAGAGAGAGCATGAGAGGGGGGAGGGTCAGAGGGAGAAACAGACTCCCCACTCAGCAGGGAGCCCGATGCGGGACTCGATCCCGCGACTCCAGGATCATGACCTGAGCCGAAGGCAGTCGCTTAACCAACTGAGCCACCCAGGTGCCCCCAAGAAGGGTATTTTCAAGTATTAGTCAGACCTTATGATCTTTCAAGAAATTCTTGGGTGAATAAAATTGCACTTATAATTTAAAATAAGCATGGAAAAGAATACTGCTAGGACGATATGTCTTTTAGGAGGGAGGGTGTGTAAAGTGTTTAAAATTTTTATTTCTAAGGTATATAACAGTGTGGCTTGGATGAACGAAGGAGGGTGGGGTTTAATAGGCCAAGAGCGGCCCCACGATGGCCGCACGGGCCGCTTCCTGGCGGAGCCTGACTTTAGAGAGGCAGTGCTCGGCTGCCTGCACAGTTAGCTGAATCCGAACAAAGAAAAGACCGGCACTTTTACCTGGGAAGTGGATTAACTTTGAGGAAAAGTAGCCTCCGGGGAGAAAAAGAGGCAGCATTCCACCGGGAGTAAGAAACGCCCTCCCTTCCTCCGGACCGTGCAAGCTCACCTCATCCGCCACAGACCTCACTCTTGCTCCCCACCCCGCATCCCTACACAGAAGAGGCGGTGGGCCGCACTCGGTGGGGTGGGCCCATCGCCCACTCCCACTCCCGCAGCGCTTGCACACGCGGACTCCAGCCAGTAGTCGGCCACGTGCGCCCGGCTCCTCTGCTCGGCCCCTTAGTGGGCCGAGAGACTCCAAGGTTGCGGTGGCAACCGTGGGGTCCTGATTTCTGTTCCCCCGCGCACAGCCAAAAAGTCGGGACAGCGGCGGCGGTGGCGGGAGCTAGCGGCTCGGCCCCTCCCTACAGCGGGCAGCACGACCGAGGGCTGCGGGCACCGCCTCTGCTGCATCCGTGGCTGCGCGCTCCGCTCGGCCCAGACCCGCTCCGATCCGGAGCCCGCGCGCCGTGCTGCCTTCCCTTCCCCCCTCTGCCGCCGCCCCGCGGGCAGCTCCCCCCGGCGAGACGCGTGTTCGATCCTCCTTCTCCGGCTTTACGGATTTCCGGGGGCAAAGAATTTTGCCTCGGTCCCTACGAGCATCTCTTGGCCTCTCTCCCCCTCCCCTCGCGACTCCCCCACCTCGTGGGCGCGCGCGCGCACACTTACACACATTCACACTCGCAGGCGCGCGTGCGCACGCCCGCACGCCCGCGCGCCCCGAGCCTCGGAGTCTTCAGCAGATCCCACTCTCTCGGGCGCCGCTACTCACACAGGCTTCCAGTCGCCACGGGGCGTCCTCTGTCTGCGGCAGCGGCGGCGGAGGCAGCACAGGGAACCGCAGCGGCAGCCTGGCCGCGTCTTGCAGCTTCGTGCTCGGGACGGAGTCCGGGAGAAGCGGAGAAGGAGGACGCCGAGGCGAGGAGGAGCCGCGCCGCGCCCAGCGCCCGGCTCCCGGCTCCGCGCGGCGGGCTGCCCCCGCTCCCGGTACCGCGGCTCCAGGTAAGCAAGCAGCTCCGGGGCCCGCAGCATCCCTGGGGTGTCCGGGCTTGGAGCCGGGGTTCCCCGGTCCCGCCCCCGCCACGGCCCCGGGACAGAGGCTTGGAGGGGAGTGGGCTCTGGGGAGGGGGAGGGGAATGGAGCTAGAGGTGAGGCTGGTGGGGAGGGGTCCTTGGAAGCTTGGGGGCTTCCGCGCAGCCCCCCGCGCCCTTCCCCGCTCTATCCCAGCTCCAGCACTATCACTTTTACGAGCTAGGGGGTGCCCGGCGCCCCAGACTGCTGTTCCCCGCTCTCCCCGCCGCCGCCGCCAGCCGGTGTTGGCTCCGGGTCCGCGCCCGCCGCGCGCTTCCCACCTCCCCTGCACCTTGGACAGCGCACCCAGCGGCCCGCCGCCCCCTGCACAGCACCTGGGACGGCGTCCTGCTCGCGCAGCCCTCCCGCTGCCCTCTTCCTTCCCGATTGTCACCCTCCCGCCCTGCGTTCCTTGTCCTCACTGTCTTGGCGGACTCCGCTGTGGTGCGGGCCGGAAACTTTACTCCCCTTCTCCTCTGCGCTAGGTACTGTTGTTATTTGTGACTGTCCCCTTACACGGTGAACTCAGACACCTTGGACGTGTCTTCCTCGGCGGGATCATGTCCTGGCCCGCCGAGTCCGAGGCAGAGGAGGCACTGGGCAGCTGGACTCGGTGGCTGCCAGGGTGCAGAGCCCGCGCCTCAGGTCCTGGACGCCTGCCGCCTCTCCGCCTCCCTGCCTCCCTGGACTCGACACGTGCGCGCCTCCCACGGACGCGGCCCCTCCCCGACCACCCCACGTCCTCCCTCCTGCACGGCCACGGCCACCCCCATAGGTTGGACACCCGGAGTTCGCAGGTTCTGATTGGCTGAAGGCGTAACCCCGCCTCCTTCCCGGAGGGGGTGGTTCTGGAGTGTTGTGGTTGTCATCCCGCGGCGCGCACATGGGGGAAGTGGGGTCGACAGGTGGGGAAGCTGGGTCTGTAGGATCCTCGCGTCTACACCGCTGTGTGTAGTCCCTCACCCATCCTCCTTCCTCCAAATACACTCCTGCTTTTCTCCCTATCTCTCAGCATTCTACTGCTGTAAGTAAAAAACAACACAAAAACTGGCTTGTAGCCCTACTTTTATTAGTATTGCATTTGTTCCGTGGTAGAGGTTTTTAAAGCATATCTAGGAGAATGAGGGAAACAAGTGCGTATGCGGAGGTTCATGGCAAACTGGGCTGCAGGTTTGAGTCCAGTAGTTCGGAGAAAGTAATGGGTGGCTAAGAGAGCTGAAGAAGATGGAGAAAGTGAGATGGACATTGTTCCTTGTTAGAAGGAAGGACACAGGTGGGTGAGCTTGGGAAGCTGAGGGAGAAAAAGTGGGTCGTTTGTGGGGTGAAATGTGAAGGAGAAACTCGGATGGGCACTCCTGGGAGGCGGGTGGGTTCTGCTGAGGAAGACTCTGTCCCAGAACGGGGTAGTTTTGGATAATATTTAGTTCATTATTAGCACACTTTGTTTCTGTTTTGCTAGCTCTGTCCTTTTGATATGAGACTTTATCTCTTAATAATGTCAGTCCATGTAATGGATTTTGTTTATTCCAGCTTCTTGTAATATATAGATTTGCAAGTGGTAATGAATTCAAAAAGTGAATTTTAAAAGTTCCTTTAGAGGGATGCACTAAATAGTTAAGGCAAAGTGCTTTTGAAATATTGTGAAAGAAGACGGATGAGCATTGCATAAAATCCAAAGATTGTTCTGGCGTTATTTAGGTCCTTTGCAGAAATATATGTGTATGCATAAATGATACTGATTTCTCTTCATTTCAAAACGTGATTGCCTCTAGCATTTTCAAGCTTTAATTCAGGCTGTTTTGATGTTGTGTCTGTACATCTAAGAATATTGTAATTCTTATCTTTAGAAGCCTTGTCAATGCAAAACAAACAGCAACTGATGCAAGTTAATGTTGACAACTTTATATTGAGTACAGTGTGTGTTATTTTATTTGTGAGTAGTGAAATATGCAAGAATAACATAGCATGACTGTTATTCCCCAGGGACCCATATCAAAACAAAGTGGGAATCGCATGAGGCTGTTCCAGGGAGAACAACTCAATTATTTTAAAAATGAATGTATTTTAGGATTCTTGGGTGTAAACAGCAACCGAATTTTCCCATTTCAGTTATTATCTTTGTACACAGTGGTAGCACATAAGTCATACAGCATGTTAAATATATTAGGTAATTCCAAAGTAGATAGTAAAGTCTTTCCATTTATTATTATTTTTATGTAAGTAGACAGAATTGCTTTCTGACTGTAGGACTTTGTATTCCAGGGACAGATTTGATACATCTGGCAAACTGGAAATTACTGCTATTGTTGAAAATACAATTCTTAGTATGTTTTCATATCCCTAGGTCATGCCTTGATTTGCCTTCAAGGGATTCAGAATCTAGTTTTTGGCCTCTCAAATTTAGACAGGTTTTGAGGTAGGTAGAAAAAGAATGTATATAGTCACACACATACATACGCATAAATGCAAAATATATGTATGTATATCCACACACAGCTATATATGTATATACATAATTTGGGGATACATTCAGTGTATTTATTTATATATATGTTATTGTCATTCTTAAATTTTCTCATTTCTGCTTGTCCAAAAGGTGGCCCTGTTTTAAACTGTAGATAGCATTATCACCAGTAGAATTGGGTGATAGATCATGGAAACAGACAATAGTATTTTGTTGCTTGGCAACCACCTACAGTGAATGAAAAACAAAGCAGTGACAGCTGCTTCCACATCCTGACACCCATACTGTAGCTCAAGCACTGAAACCCTCCACGTGAGACAGCTCTAAGTTTCATTTGAGTAAGGTGAAGCTGTTTCTTTTGGGGGATGATTTTAAAGAGAGTATTTAAAATTTTTATTATAATAAGAATTATATTGTTAGTGTGGGATGAAATGAAGCATCTAATTTCAATTGCCCTCTTAAGCCTAGTCTAAACTGAAAAATGCAAGATTGAGAGGATTGTTTAGACCCTTCTCATTCTTCCCTTTATAGTCACTAAACACTGTAAGCACATTTTCTCCTACCGTCAGGTGCTCCTAGGATTTTACAAAAACTTGAGTTCTCTATGATACCTAAATAGATAGCTGGATTTTACTGCTAGCAGGGAATTAGAGATTCATGCTCTGGCCTCTCTCTCTCATTTTATGGGACACTGAGGCACAGTGAGGTGATGTGACTTGACCCTGGTGACTGAGCCATCTCTAGAATGTCTTCCTTTGGGTGACACTTGGAAATTTTTTCCATTTCCTCCCTGAAATTATTCTTGTTCTTGAGTTACATAAAACATATAAAAAAAGATTTTTATCCTAATAAAGATACTTAGAAAATACAGTAATATTTGGGAGTAAATATTTAGTATTGACACTAGGCTAGATTATGGTGTTAGATGCATTGTATATCATGTATTCTGCCTCCAATCTATGGAAGTCCTGTGACTCCCACCTCTTTCTCCAAACTGGGGAAGCCCTGTCCCTTGCTTTGGTAATTGTTTACACCTTTGTGTAATCTTTAATGATCCATTATTTTCCGTGGGAATTTTAAATGGGGATAAGATTGAAGATTGTGTTGGTCAGCTTTTATACCAGTGAGAGTTTAAACATTACAGCTAATTAATCACCCGTTCTGGTCTTCTGTCGGCAACGTGGTAGACGTGCTGTGGGTGTAGTGATTTGGGCTCTTTAAAGCACATGGGACACTGGGGCGCCTGGGTGGCTCAGTCGTTAAGCTTCTGCCTTCGGCTCAGGTCATGATCCCGGGGTCCTGGGATTGAGCCCCACATCGGGCTCCCTGCTCCGCGGGGGGCCTGCTTCTCCCTCTCCCACTCCCCCTGCTTGTGTTCCCTCTCTAGCTGTCTCTCTCTGTCAAAAAAAAAAAAAAAAAAAAGTACATGGGACACAGTACTGTGTCTCTGCATAGTATTCATTTTAGTCTTTTATCAAAGCTGTCTTGCCAAAGGTACTACCTGTAGCATGTTGGTGGAGGACGAGTCATCTATCTGTGAGAGATGGTAATAGTGCCCATTGTTTCTTAACTCAATAAAATGATAATGAATAAATTATTGGGTGACAAACTTGGATCCCATATGCATTATTAAGCATTTCTTCTAAACTTAGGGTATGTATTGCCTGTGTGATACATTTTGAGGTTCCTTATGCTATTTTAAACGATGTATTTCACGTTTATTATTTATGTCAAAGATAGGCATTTAGGAGCGCCTGGGTGGCTCAGTCGGTTAAGCCGCTGCCTTTGGCTCAGGTCATGATCCCGGGGTCCTGGGATCGAGCCCCGCATCAGGCTCCCTGCTCAGCGGGAAGCCTGCTTCTCCCTCTCCCTCTGCCTGCCTCTCTGCCTACTTGTTCTCTCTCTCTCTGTGTCAAATAAATGAATAAAATATTAAAAAAAAAAAAAGATAGGCATTTAACTTTAATGTAACAACTTAGGTAGAAAAACTTGAAGTGGCCTGGTTGGAGTAACAATAAAGTGACAGTATTAAGTACCACTGAAGAACCATTTTCAGCAGAAAAGCATGCACTTTAGCAGATTTGTAGTGGGGGAATAAATTGATTTACAGCATGTTTAACGTAGTTTTAGAAGCCTGCTATTAACTTGTTCTAGCTAGGAAGATTTTCTTTTTTAATAGATTTTATTTATTTATTTGACAGAGAGAGACACAGCGAGAGAGGGAACACAAGCAGGGGGAATGGGAGAGGGAGAAGCAGGCTTCCCGTGGAGCAGGGAGCCCGATGTGGGGCTCGATCCCAGGATCCTGGGATCATGACCTGAGCCGAAGGCAGACGCTTAACGACTGAGCCACCCAGGCGCCCCGCTAGGAAGATTTTCAAGCAGAATAATAATTTGGCAGATTTCAAGTGAGTTTCGCTGATTTTTAAAACTATTTTCCACAGTCTGGTTATAGTTTGTCCAGGGC